TAAGATCTAACGATTCTAACCCTTTAGGAATTTAGATAAAATAAGCTGAAACTATATAAAGCAAAAGTTGATAGAACTGCAGTGAAAAAGTGACAAATCTATAAATTTCAAAACATATCTCCCAACTATTGATAAGTCAAGCCCACACAAAAATAATCAGTAAAGATGTAGATAATGTGAACAATACAATTAAAAGGCTTGGATCTCCACACTTAGCAATTAAAGAATACACATTCTTCTCAAACACACATGGAACATTTACAAAAGTTGATCATGTAACTAGGCCACAAGTGAATCTAAACAAACTTCCAAAAATCGGCACCAAAAACCACGTTCTCCATCCACAATGCAATTAAATTAGACATTAATAACAAAAAGATAAGAAAACTACCTCTGGAAATTTTAAAACACTCCTCCAAAAAAACTCTCATAGATCGAAAAAGAAATAACTGAAATATACAAATTCTTAGAACTGAATTATTTTATTTTTATTATTATTTTAGAACTGAATTATTTTTTAAAATGCTACATATTCAAACCTGCAGAATTCAATAAAAGCAGTAATCTGAGGGAATTCCATTGTTTTAAATCTTCAAGGATGCTTTTGCTGGCAAGTTCTATGAAACCTTTCAAGGAAGAGATCATTTTAATCTTAACTCTTTCAGAATAGAAACAGAAAAGGTACACTTCCTTTCCCCCTCCTACGAATCCAGTATGACTTTGGTACCAAAACCATACAAGGATACTACAAGAAAAGAAAATCAATGGCCAATATCACCTATGCACAAAGAAGCAAAAATTCTAAATGAATTAGACCAAATCCAGAATGGTTTAACATTCTAAAATCTACAAATGTCATAAACCATAAAATTGATAAAGAACAAAAGCCATATAATTACCTCAACCATTGCAGAAAAAACACATTCTTAATAAAAAATTCAATGATTTTAATAAATAATAACTGTTGGCATACTAGGAATTGAATACCAACTGTTGGTGAGGATGTGGAGAAAAAGGGACCCTCTTGCCCGGTTGGTGGGAATGCAGGCTGGTGCAGCTGCTGTGGAAAATAGTATGGAGGTTCCTCAAAAAATTAAAAATAGAATCACCATATGATTCAGTAATTCTACTACTGGGTATTTACCCGAAGAAGACAAAAACACTAATTTGAAAAGACATATGCACCCCCATGTTTATTACAGCCTTATTTACCATAGCCAAGATATGGAAACAAAGTGTCCACTGATAGATGAACAAAGATGTGGTATGTACATACAATGGAATATTAGCCACAAAAATAAATGAAATCTTGACAGTTGCAATGACATGATGAATCTAGAAGGTATAATGCTAAGTGAAATAAGTCAGCCAGAGAAAGACAAATACCATATGATTTCACTCATATGTGGAATTTAAGAAACAAAACGAAGTAAAACAAGAGACAAACCAAAAATCAGACTCTTAAATACAGAGAACAAACTGGTGGTTGCCAGAGTGGGCAAGTGGGGGACGGATGAAATAGATAAAGGGGATTATGAGTACACTTATCTTGAGCACTGAGAAATGTTCACAATTGTTGAATCATCATATTGTACACCTGAAACTAATATAACACTGTATGTTAAGTTATGCTGGAATTTTAAAAAATGAATTACTGATATGTAATGAAAAAATAGTAATAATAATAACTTGGCATACTAGGGATTGAAAGGAATTTTCTTAACCTGTGAAAGGGTATCTATAAAAAGCCTATAAAACAAGACTATAAAAAATTTTCTTAATCTGAGAAAGGGTATCTATAAAACAGCAATATTACTCTTCCTGGGGAAATGACGAAAGCATTCCTTTTAAAATTAGGAAAAGATAAGGGTTCTCACTATCATCACTTCTACTCAATTATTCAACTTGGTGCTGGAGGTACCAGCCAGTACAGGAAGAAAAAGACTTACTTAAGAAATTCTAGACTTAAAAAAAAGAAATTAAAGACTTAAGGATTAGAAAGTTAGAACTAAAATTGTCGTGCCTATATAGAAACACACACACACACAATCTCCAGAAACGTTATTAGAAATATAAGTTAAGGAGGTGGCTGGCTATATGGTTGATATACAAAAACCAACAGCATTTCTATCGGCAGTTCAAACAACAAGAAAATTTCTTTCTAAAATGATAATATTTAAGTATCAACAGTGTATTTAAAGGACAAATTCCAAAAGAATAGATCAGAAAGCCTGAACAATCAGAAAGAAAAAATGTGATAATTATTCCTAGTAATTCCTAGTACTCCTAGTAATTACTCCTAAATAAATGTGGATTTACTCCTAATAGGAATAACTACAGTAACAACTTCTAGCACACTAGGGATTGAGAAGAATTTTCTTGACCAGATAAAAGGCATCTATGAAAACACTCACAGCAGCATTACTCCTAATGGGGAAATGATGAAAGCATTCCCTCTGAAATCAGGAACAGGATAGGGGTTCTCGATATTACCCTTCTACTCAACTGCTCAACATTGTCACAGAGATCCTAGCCAGAATAGTAGGAGACCAAAGATGTAAGAAATTAAAGGCAAAGGGTTACAGAGGATTTATTCACTCCTAGGGGGTGAAATCTGCATATTACACCTGCCTAAGAATAACTGACAAAAGATCTGCAATGTCTTCGTGCTGAATATTACAAAAGGTTATCAAAAAACATTATAGAATATCTTAAAAAATGGGAAGCCCATGTTCATGGATGAGAAGTTTCACTATCATAAACTATCAATTCTTCCAAACTGATTCAAATTGATCAATGCAATTCCAATCAAAATCCTTAAAGTTTTTTCAATGTGAAAATTTACAAGCTGACAATAAAATTTACATGAAAAATCAAGAGGCCAATAATAAGAACCTCCTGAAAAAAGTAGAATTTGCATAATTACAAAGCATAATTAAAACTGCACTGCAGGTTAGACAAATTGATCAATGGAATAGAACAGAGGCAAGACATACATCTTTATAGTTTTCTACGTGATAGAGGCACACTGTAGATCAAGTGGAGAAAGAAAGGGATTTTCTATAAATGGTTCTATGCCCATTACTATCTATATATAAAATATTAAATTAGATTCCTACCTCACATCATACACAAAACCAATTCCAGGTAAATTTAGAGCTTAAACATAAAAGAGCAAAATTCTATAACATTAAGAAGAAAATGTAGTATATTTTTCTGACCTTGGGATAATATGAGATTTCTTAGATGAGACAGAAAAATCAAGAAAAGATCAGTAAAGTCAATCATATTAAAATTAAGAATTTGGGGCGCCTGGGTGGCTCAGTTGGTTAAGCGACTGCCTTCGGCTCAGGTCATGATCCTGGAGTCCCGGGATCGAGTCCC